TTTTATTTTTTTCTAAAAATAATTCCGATGTGTTCATCCATCTTACGATGGTGAACTACCTGACTTTATTTTTGAATGTGTGTGAAAATATTTTTGTCTATTTTCATGTCATGTAGAGGTAAAGAACTTGACTCTGTTAGAAAATATCCTTAATAATTTTGTTTTAGTTTATTTATATACTTTATATTAAAATTCATAAATTATCCAACTGATTAGTAAACTCTTCGAATATTAACTTTATATTACCATCGTTGAGAAAAAATGGTTGAAAGTATTTACCATTTTTTCTCTTTCGTAAAATTCAAACTTATTTTTATACTATATAATTAAACATTTTAGTTTTTCATTCAGAAAAAATATTTATTCATTACTAAAGTAGATATGAATAATTTTACTTAATTTTATGCATTAATATTTTTGAGAATTAAATTAAAAAAGTTTGATAACTATTATTTACAATTTTTTATTTCATCTTTCGTAATTGTTTACCTTTCAACTCTTTTTCACACACTATTTATTTATATTCAAAATAACTCTTTTCACACTCTATTTATTTATATTCAAAATAATATTTTAAATTTTTTATTTCATAGAAAATTTATGTTTTATGATTTGTAAAATAAGTATTTATTTTATATAAATGATTTAACTTTAGTTTTATACATACATCTTTCTAAGATTTTTTTTTTATAAAATTTTTTTAGTATTATTTTTTGTAATCTATTCAGTCATCTTTTGTATGTGTTTGCCTTCTAAAATTTTTTTCATAAACAAATAACATAAGTTTGTAATTTTTTTGACTTGTAAAATAAGTATTTGTTTTTAATTTCAAATTTATCATATTAAAAGCCCAAAGATAATTACCAAAATATAAAATCTTAAAAAATAAAATCCAAAATATTTAGAAGCCCATTTAGAAATAAAAATTGTGCTGATGTGGACACATTAGATGGAGAGATAACTTGCCCATTATATATATGATTTATCAATTGATATGCGGAGAATTAAAACAAGTCAGCATTTTTAGAATATTGCTATATCTTGTTCTCCTTTGATTCCAGTCCCGTCTTACTATATCAAGTAAATCATCATGTTTAAACAATCGCTTATCAAATCTAAAGAATCTCATTTTTGGTAGAATATTATATTCAATCGAAACTATCATCAGTCTATGATATGATTCTACCAAATTTAGAAGATTCATTTTCAAATGCAAAATACAAATGTAGCCATTCTGAATTCACATAGACTCTCTCCAAGCAAAATTCCACAATATCATCCCTACATTTACCAACCCAACTAAATGCATTGCCCTTATACTTAAGATTTTCCACACCACAAATCTCAAACATTATTCTGAAGTCTCTGTATGTTCAATCATTGCGTATTTTGCCTCCCTTTTTCTCCGTTTGATCTTTAATTTAATTGAAATCTCCACACATCATCCAAGGTCCTACTCTTGATGTTGCAACTTGTTATAGTTTTTCCTATAAGTGATTTCAATGTTGTTGAATCGGTTTTCCATAAACACTAGACAAGTAGAAACTGAAAGCTTTATATTCAATAAAAAGATCTACAAACCTTGCATCAGATGAAATACATTGAACTGAAACATGACTTTTTCAGAATACTACCAGCCCACCTCTTATGCCATGAGGCGATACCATGCACATATCTTCGAATCCTAGAGAAACTCTTAAATCTCTAACATAATTATCTTGTTGCTTTGTTTCCACCAAGAATAACATGTCCGAGAGATACATCATCTCTTCTAGATGTCGAATTATGGGGCATTGTTCCAAATCTCTACAGTTCCACACCTCAACTATGATGGTGGAAGTGGTGGATTCGAGCCCACCACACCTCTGATGTTGATCTTCGACATGGAGGTTGAAGCATCTTGATCCTGGCAATTAATTTGTAGTTTGAACAGAGCATTAATATCACTCATTACCTTTGGTGGATTCATATGCTTGTCTTCCGCATCCTTCTCCTCACGAGTATGTTTGTTACTCTTAGCTCTTAGATCCCCATTTGGTGTCAATAAAAGGTCATAGAGAAAACTTCCATTGATATAATTCCTTCAGCTTGAAGTTGTCTTCGCTCCTCCCAATTCCATATTGGCTTCTTGATTCTTCCGACTTCCATCATCATTCTTTTCTGGTTGTGCTTCATCGTTAACTTGATTTCCATCACCTTCATCATCCGGGTATGCTTCATCATTCCCTTGATTTCCATCATCCTCGTTGTTGTTATTACCATCTTCTTCATTATTGTTGTCACCATGGTCGATGTGACAGTTACCAATGTCATAGGTAACAAAATCACATATTTCACAGAAACTCCTTAGACGCTCATATAGGAATTTCAACAACATTCCAATCGTAAACTGAAATTTTTTCTTAAATCGTAGCGATAGATCAATGTCCTAATTGATTCTGACCCGTACAAATTCCACATTTGCTGCATATTCTATGTTGAAATTCACTTCAGTAATCGGACCCAGACTTTCTCCAATATGGCGGATCACACCGCCATTTAGAAATTGCAAATGAATGCCTTTAATTTGAACCCAGAGTGGTATGAAATTCAACATGAATTCTTTTATATTCAATTTCTATATGTGAAGGACTAACAATCTGATCATTGAAGGCTCATAGTCCTCGGTTGAGCACTGATTTCATCAGTTTTTCAGATGGAAAGACAAATTGGGCCCTTCGTCTCTCGACAATTCTTTTGGTTATGATATTGGACGAGCCATAAATTTTCGGTAGAAATATAACAATAGCTTTCAAATTCTAAAGTATAGGTACCGTTGGACATCCCATAAACGTGAATTGATTTTTTCTAGCCGCAACATTGCAAACTTCGAAAAGTAATACCACTAAAACATTTTTGACTCCTAAATTAATCTCATGTAAAGTATAACAAATATTTTCTACCATTTTAGTGAACTAAATAAAGAATCAAAATCGATATAGGATAGAATATGCAATTGAAAAGTTGTGTAATATAATTAAACAAAGAGATTCATGTATATAACTTCGTTGGAATTGGATTTGCTTTTCAATTGCATTGTGGTAGAAACCATCACCCACTCCAAAAATAAAATATGTGGGTGAAATTGGGTTGCAACTGCCATTTCATTCTGATATTAAAAAGTAAAACTATTTTTTCATACAAAAACAAAGATAACCAACATAATAACCGCCAAAACACCTTTTTAGGTGGGAGTATTGAATGATTGATTTTAAGAGAATACAAGAGAATTATAAAATAATTGATTTTAAGTAATTTAAAGTTTTTGTTGAGAATTTAAATCAATTTTATCAAAATGACAGCCAAAAATGGTAAGAATTGATTTTTTACAAAATTTCATTGTAATTCTATTAAATTCCTTTAAAATGACAATAGCATAAGAAGAGCACTAAAATTCAATAATATCAGCAATAATAGAAATTAAAAAATCACTACATTGAATAACACTAGAATTTAAAATAACTTAAAAAAATGACTTCAAATATTGAATCCAATAACACATAAATTTAAAAGAATTTGTGAAATACAATACTCCTTCCACATTGAATAACAATGAAATTTAATAGAAAGCCTAATTCCTTCTAATTCAATTAAATTCCTTAATTGAATACCTCTTAATCACCGTTGCTATACATGATTTTTTTCCTAATTTTCTATTTTATTTATTTGCAATTTATATGTAATTTTAGATATTTTATATAAATAAAATTAAATGTTAAAAAGGGATAAATTTTGTTAAAAAGGCTTTCTAGCAAAATGAGTCATTTTCTATAGTATGAAACTATGAATACCTCACGGCTACGGATTTGTGAATTTGCTATTCTACGACCTTTTATGACATAATCAATCCAAGATTAGAAAAATGTCGACAAAGAAAACAAAATACTTTTTTAAAAAACACAAAAAGAAGAAAAAAGAAATTGAAAAATAGGAGTCTATGAGTCTATCGAACTTATCCACCTTTTAAGATTGAATCAACTCATATTGTATAATATCAATAAGTATATCGTCTGGTGTCTGAGAATATCCCATCCCTCGATTCCATTTCATCTCTCTCGTCTCTTCCTTTTCAGATCGATTGTTTAGAACGACGGCGACGGAGAAACTGCGACGAAGTCAGACGGTGACCGCCGGTAATTTTTTTTTTTTTTTGTGTGACTTTCCCTTGGTAACCTGCTTTTTGACTTTGTTCCTAAGCGTTCACTCACTTTCTCTTCTGATCTTCCTTATTAAGTTGTTGTTGAATCGCTTGATCCTTTCTTTTTCTCTGATGGGTTTTATTTTGATATACTGTGAGATTCTGGGAAATCGTGTCTAAGTATTTGGGATTTCGGATCGGGGTTTCTTAATTTTGCTTTTGAACTGTGATTTTTTTTTATTTTCCATTTGGGAATTTCAGTGAAAATAAATACTATGATCTGGGTGATGAATCATGAAATTATTTTGATGCTCGTGAAGTAGTTTTATTTATTTATTTTAGGGTTCTACACTTATACTTTCTTTTAGTGGTTGGAAGTTGGAACTGTTGTTCGATATTGAAACTTGATTATCTTTACCTATCTGCATCGACATCACGAATTTTATGAATTATTATGTGTTTTTTTTTTCTTTGATAAGAGGAGTAAATACAAAGTTTCTGGTTCTGGTTTCATTTGAGAATGCATTTCATCTCTCTGCTCCTTGATGATCAGGTCACTCTCTGTAGAGCCTTCTATGTGCTTTATGATCTCCATATCCTATGATTTTGAATAAGATGATCATCATCCAATATCTGATGTTGAAACATAACCTATGGTTGTGTTTTGCAGTTCTCATGAATTAGTATTTGTTTGGTGTGCGGATTTGTTAAAAGTGCTAATGAGATGGACTTCCTTTTGTACTTGTAGGTATAAAGCATAGTTCCTTGGGATCTATTTTTCCAGCTTGGGAGTATCAACCTTTTATGATTTTTTGTTCCAACAATGGGGTCAAAATCATTTGGAAATCTCTTAGACTTGGCTGCTGGGGATCTTCTGGACATTCCTCAGACCCCGAGAGCTCTTCCGAGAATGATGACTGTTCCTGGAATCATCTCTGATGTCGATGGATACGGCATTAGTGATGGCGAATCAGATGTCATCCCATTACCTTGCCGGGAGCGGAAAATCATAGTGGCCAACTTTCTTCCTTTAAACGGTAAAAAGGATTCAGAGACTGGGAAGTGGAGCTTCTACCTGGACAATGATTCTCCAATGTTACATCTGAAAGATGGGTTTTCTCCAGAGACGGAAGTCATTTATGTTGGATCACTCAAGACAGATGTTGATGTTGCCGAGCAAGACGAGGTTTCCCAAACACTTTTCGAGGAATTCAACTGCGTACCGACTTTCCTCCCGCAGGATGTTCATAAAAAATTCTACCTTGGCTTCTGTAAACAGCAGCTTTGGCCACTTTTCCACTACATGTTACCCATGTGCCCTGATCATGGTGAACGCTTTGATCGCAGTCTTTGGCAGGCATATGTTTCTGCAAACAAAATATTTGCAGATAAGGTAATGGGCGTGATTAATCTCGAGGAAGATTATATCTGGATTCATGACTATCATTTAATGGTTCTCCCAACATTTTTGAGGCGGCGTTTTCACAGGGTTAAGCTTGGTTTCTTCCTCCACAGTCCGTTCCCTTCTTCGGAAATTTATCGAACCTTACCTGTTCGAGAGGAGCTACTAAGAGGGCTCCTAAACTGCGATTTAATTGGTTTTCACACCTTTGATTATGCACGGCATTTCTTGTCATGCTGCTGCAGAATGCTTGGATTGGAGTATGAATCTAAGAGAGGGCATATTGCTCTTGACTACTTGGGCCGGACAGTTTTTCTGAAGATTCTTCCTATAGGTATTCACATGGGAAGGCTCGAGTCTGTTCTGAATCTTCCTGCTACATCTGACAAACTGAAAGTGATCCAAGGAAAGTATCGGGGTAAGAAGGTGATTCTCGGTGTTGATGACATGGATATATTCAAAGGTCTAAGTCTGAAGATTTTGGCCTTTGAACACCTCCTACAGCAATATCCTAGCATGCTAGGGAATGTAGTTCTCATTCAGATTGTGAACCCAGCAAGAGGATCAGGTAAAGACGTTCAAGAAGCGAAGAAAGAGACGTATTACACTGTTAAGAGAATCAACGAGCGTTATGGTTCGCCTGGTTATGAGCCAGTGGTTCTGATCGATCGTCCTGTTCCTCGGTTCGAGAAGTCTGCCTATTACGCCATGGCAGAATGCTGCATAGTCAATGCGGTGAGGGACGGCATGAACTTGGTTCCGTACAAGTATACTGTTTGTCGGCAAGGAACTCCTAACATGGATAAATCTCTGGGACTAAGTGAAGATTCTCCTCGCACAAGCACGCTTGTTCTGTCTGAGTTCATTGGTTGCTCTCCTTCTTTAAGTGGCGCTATTAGAGTTAACCCTTGGGACGTTGATGCGGTAGCAGATTCAATATATTCCGCTCTCACCATGTCTGATTTCGAGAAGCAGCTACGTCACAAGAAACACTATCACTACATTAGTACACATGATGTGGGGTATTGGTCGCGCAGCTTTTCGCAGGATTTGGAGAGGGCATCTCGAGATCATTACAGTAAACGGTGCTGGGGTGTGGGTTGGGGTTTAGGTTTTAGGCTCATTGCTCTCTCTCCTAATTTCAGAAGGCTATCCATTGAGCAAGCTGTCAGTGCTTACAGAAGATCGAGCAGGAGAGTTATCTTTCTTGATTATGACGGTACTTTGGTTCCCGAGGCTTCGATCGTAAAGGACCCAAGTGCTGAAGTTATTACTGCGTTGAAGTCACTGTGTAGTGATCCTAATAACACTATATTTATTGTTAGCGGGAGAGGGAAAGTTTCTTTGAGCGAGTGGCTTGCACCGTGTGAGAATCTTGGAATAGCCGCTGAACATGGTTACTTCACAAGGTACGTTACTTGTTTCTCTTAGTTCTGATAGAGTCGTGCATCTTTTTTTCGCCGGAAAATAAAACTTATAAATCTTCTCGCTGTGATGCAGGTGGAATAAGTCATCTGACTGGGAAACAAGCGGCTTTTCTGATGACCTTGAATGGAAGAAGATCGTGGAACCTATTATGAGACTATATACAGAGACTACAGATGGATCCAATATAGAAGCGAAAGAAAGTGCTTTGGTGTGGCATCACCAAGATGCTGATCCAGACTTTGGTTCTTGTCAAGCCAAGGAACTACTCGACCATCTTGAAACCGTTCTTGTGAATGAACCAGTCGTTGTTAACAGAGGCCACCAAATCGTCGAAGTTAAGCCTCAGGTAAAACACTTTCTTCACCCCATCTTCTGTGAATGAACCAGTCGTTGTGATTCATAATGTCCCTGTCTCATTGCACTGTATATAGTCCTAAACTGTGATCTTTGGAGTAACAGGGAGTAAGCAAAGGTCTTGTCACCGCAAAAGTTCTCAGTAGAATGATTGAAGAAGAAGGGAAGGCGCCAGATTTTGTGGTATGCATTGGAGACGATAGATCGGACGAGGAGATGTTTGAGAGCATAACAACAACACTCTCATCGCAATCATCGTCAACGTCTACAGAGATATTCGCGTGCACCGTGGGAAGAAAACCGAGCAAAGCCAAGTACTTCCTGGATGAAGTAAGCGACGTGGTGAAGCTTCTTCAAGGACTAGCCAACACTTCGAGCCCAAAGCCTAGGTACCCTTCTCACCTCAGAGTCTCCTTTGAAAGCGTGGTATGAGTTAAAAGAAATCAACGTTGGTTTATTTTAGGATTCTGAATCATGAAAAAAGAAAACATGATTTTGTACATAGAAACACGAAAACAAAAAGACACTTGATGTTGCGGTTTGAGAGCCTTTGAATCGAGAGGCTTCTAGTCAGGTTTTGATGAACATTGTACATAATAATTTACCACTTTTGTCAGACTTAAAAAGCTTCTTCTCTTGTTGTGTTTGGAACATATTAATGTTCTCTAATTATGATTAAGAAAAAATAGTACTTAGCGGAAAAGCCGTGGAACAGATCTTCGAGGGACTTTGCCTTGGAGCTTAAGTCTACGATAGGATTCTCTGATATGACAAGGTCTTATAGGTCCTGTTTCATTGCTTTTACTCATAACTATTCGAGCTGTCTCCACGAGGTCACCGGCAAACATCTTTGCGATACCACGAACAACTGAAACCACAGGGTCGTCGTCCTTCAAGCTGTTAATCCCTGTGATACTCTTTATTAACGTCTTCATGTTTGATTTGCTAAGAGTAGATCTCCTGAAAGATTCGTATCTGCTCATCTGATCCTCTGTGAATTGCGATAGAATCGCTTGTCTTTTGGCTATCTTCACACTCGTTGCGTATTCAACATCTTCTTCTTCACGAGGCTGCTCCATTTCAATTCGTTCATCGTCAATTGCTTCTTCGAACGTATCCTTCGAATCCTTCATTCCTGATTAAACCCTAAACGATGAAATCACAGAAAATCCGATCCTAAAATCTAGAAGATTGAGCCAATTTTGTTTGTTGAACAGCGATGATGACACTAGAAAAGATCGGACATAAAAAAAAACTCGAAGAAATCAATTCTTTAAACAGTCTATTGAATTACATATGGAACTCTTTATATACACATCTTTGGCGTGGAAATTAAGTTACTAACCGATGTGGGATTAAGTAAACTGCTGGAAAAAAAAGGAAAATAGAACATAGAAATCAGATACAACCATCGCTAAAGCCCATTTAAATCACAGCTTTAACATTGGCCCATTGATACGAGCTCTGCTTATAAAATAGTTCTTTTTCTTTGGTCTTGGTTCAACACCAAAACTTAATTTCCGTGCGACAAAAGAAAAACGAAAAAAACCCTTATTCGCGAGACGACTATGTCTAATGATTGGTCCAAGCTTAGTCCCGATCTTTTGCGATCGATCCTTGAAAGCTTAAGCTTTACTGGTTTTCATCGAGCGAGAGCCGTTTGCTCAAACTGGTACACCGTTTCCAAGACGTGTAGGCCACGTAAGTCTCCACGTCTGTATCCATGGCAAATTTTATTCGACAAGCATGCAACTTATGGTCTCGATCCCGTAGAAGACAAGATGCACGAATTAAGTCATCCACTGCTTGATTTATCCAGTTCCTGTGTCATGGATAGTTGCAGCAGCTGGCTCTTGGTGGTAGATCTCGATCTAGAGTTCTATCTTGTGCACGTGTTTACTGGTGAGAGGATCTATCTTCCATGGATAAAGTCATCACTAACGCTTCCTTTTGAAGTGAGATCGGAGTATCTCGTGGATCGTGCGGGCTACGTATGCCCTGGGAACTCGGCTTGTCTTTGGATAAGCGAGACAACACGTGATTTCGTTGTTGCTTGGAGCTACGAAGGCTACTTGTTCTCATACAAGGATGGAGATGATTCCTGGAGACATCATCGTGGCATAGATTGTGTATCCATGGCTTATAAGGACGAAAAGCTCTACTATCTGTGTAAAACTGATAGCTGCATCAAGATTCTTGATTTCTATGGAGGTTCCTCTGAGGAACTCATTCAAGAAAACCCATATCGTAACTATCCGTTTTACTTTACCTCGCGATTTCTTTGGAAGACGAGGATAGCGATTACAAGCGAAGAAGAGGTTTTGATCGTTATGAGCTTAAGAGTCTAACGATTTCTTTGCCATCTATAGGATGGATATGCGTAATAGATGGGAGAGAGTAGATAATATTGAAGGCGATCATGAGATGCTGATATATGGTCATGGGGTGACAATAAGCGCACCAATCGAAGATACTAGTGGTTGTGGAATCGCAAGTGATGCAATCTGTTTCCGTGATGATGATGTTTTCCTGAGTAACGGAGAAACCAAGTGTGGTGTGTTTGATCTTGTGAGAAGAAGAATCATCCCATCATCGCATGTTGCGCACTTGGAGAGTTTCTGGTTTGCTCCTGCCTTCCGGGATGTGCTTAAAGTCTTCGATACGGATACAAAGTGATTCAGCCAAGTTGTTTTGCTACTCTCTGACTTTTGGGTCTTCTAATTAATGATGGTGTGATTTGTTTTAGGTTGTTATTTGCTGATTTTACCATATGATTATTTTTTCAAGGAAGTTTTGTGGTTTTATTTTTGGTTTATCAAAGTTTGGGAATAATGAAGCTTGAGAGTTAATAACACTTAGACAACGAAAGCGATTTGCTGGCTAAAGCTAACAAATCTCATACTAGGTGTAAAATTTGGACTTTTGGGCTAATAATAGTGACTAAAGCTAATAACAAATCCTATGGATCACAATGTCCCATGATCTTGCTTCTATAAGTTGATCAGAGACTGTGTATATATATGAATGATAAATCCTTATAAACCCCAATGCGGGATAATGAAATTTCCTACAATCCTTTGTTGAATCATCTCTCTTGTCTCGTGTACCACTATCTACACTTGAGGATGCTTATAATACCCTTACCCAAGATGAGGAATCAAAATCTTTGGGCCGTGAAGCTACAGATACTCGTGTATGCACACACTGTGGGCGCAATGATCATCTAGCCGAACAGTGTTTTCGTTTGATCGAATATCCCGATTGGTATGAAGAAAAAACAAAGAATCAGTCAACTACAAACTCAGCTCGAGGGCGTAGTTCGAAAGGTTCTGCTTTCCATGGAAGTCGCAGTTCAGTAAATCATCTCTCCACTCCCGCCTTTGCAACTAATGTCACTATGTCTGCTCCATCGTTAACATCAGCTGATCGAGTGGGTATAAGCGGGTTGAGCAATACTCAATGGAAGACGTTGGCCCAATATTTCGCTATCTGAAATCGAGTTCTGGACAAAGTATTATTCTTCGCTCAAAAACAGATTTGGTTCTATCGGCTTGGTGTGATTGGCTTGGTGTGATTCCGATTGGGCATCCTGTCCTATCACTAGACAGTCACTTACTGGCTAGTTTATCCAACTCGCAGGCTCTCCTTTGTCATGGAAAACACGGAAGCACGGCGTGGTGTCACGTTTATCGGCAGAGGCAGAGTATCGTGCCATGGCTGATACAGTACATGAGCTCCTTTGGATTCGACAACTTCTACCTGTTCTTGGTATCTCCTGCGAATGTCCTATTGTCTTGCACTCGGAAAGTCTTTCTGCTATTAATCTCGTTGCTTGAACGTAATTGTGATTCATGGAATTGGAGATCCTTGCTGCAGCTTCGGCCCCTTGCAGAAAAGTTTATTCGAGCTATGGTGGGAAATGGGGCAAATACAAGCTTCTGGTTTGACTCATGGACCCCTCTAGGTCTTTTAATCAAGGCTGTGGGTATGTCAGGCCCAAGAAGCTTTAGAGTGCCTCTAAACGCTACAGTCGCTTCTGTATGCAACATCGACGGTTGGAACTTACCTCCCCCGCGATCTGAAGAGACTCTGAACCTTCATGCGCATCTCACTACGATACCCCTCCCAAGTACGTCAAACTCTCCTGATTCTTTTCCTTGGGTTGTTGATGGCATAAATTGTAACGGCTTCTCCGCTAAAAAAACATGGGATGCCCTAAGGCCTACGGCTCCGGATCAGCCATGGGCTCCCACAGTCAGGTTCAAGCAAGCTGTCTCCAAACACACGTTTACAATGTGGATTGCAAACATGGACAGACTGTGACTCGCGTCTTGGGGACTTCAGATTCCTATAACGTGTTGCTTGTGTTCGCAGCTTGAGGAGACAAGGAACCACCTGTTTTTGACGTGTGACTTTAGTTCTCAAATCTGGAGTCAGGTAATCGGGAGGTTAACTCCATCTAATCCTTTGTTTCATGAATGGAAAGATTTGATGGACTGGTCAACATACAGTTCTCCTAATGCCCCATCGATATTGAGAAAGTTAGTAGCTCAAACTACTATCTATCACTTATGGAAGCAGAGGAATAATGTTTTACACAACCAGCTATCCATTCCAACAACAATCATCTTCAAGGGCCTGGACAGAGACATCCGCAACATTATCTCATCTAGGCGTCGCCGTAAACACTGTGAAAACTTCATGCAAATGTGGTTTCACTGAAGTTTTCAAACCCAATTGTTCGTAACTCAGTTTGCTACCTTGTTTTTCTTTATTTTTTCCAAGGTATCAAATTTTTAGGTGCTGCTCTTTGTAAATGCTAAACGTTATATTTACTATTTAGCAAAAAAAAAATAATCTCGCTGCTAATCCGTTTATCATGTTCGTACTAAGCATGTTGGTTTGGACTGTCAGTCTATACGTGACAAGATCATTCGTGGTATCATTGCTACAAAACATATCTTCACCAAGTCTCAACTTGCTGATACTTTAAAATTTTTGGGACGCAAGGAATTTGAAGCATTTATGTTCAAGCTGCGTGTTTGCAATCTTGAGGAAGAATATTGGGCCACAATATATTATTACGATTAGGTCATATTACAGTATATAAGGCGTTGGCCGTCGAACCATGAATAATAAGAAACCTATTTTACAACTTCTAAAGGTTCTTGAGAAAAGTAGCCTTTTGCAAGAAAAGTGTTTTTTGGAGGGAGATGGAGGATCATAAGCCCACGAGTTACACGTTTGAGATAGATAACTTCTCCCAGAAGGAATCGAAGATAGCATCACCAAACTTCTTAAGCGGCGGCTGCGAATGGTAAATGCAAAAGAATAAATATTATGTTTTAATTCTCATCCTCGAGGTCTCTGTTATTATGTTTATTAACTAAAGCGTTTAGTTAATCTGTTTCCTTTTTTTTTTTCAGGTTTGTTCAAGTTCATCCCAAAGGAGACCATATTGAAGATCACTTGGCTCTGTTCCTCTACGTTGCGAATTCTGAATCATTGCGACTTGGATGGAAAAGAAGAGCTAATTTTTTCTTCGTTCTGCTGGATCAATCCGGCAAAGAGCTCTACAAAACAAAAGGTAATTTAGCTTGCCGGACGTAAACTGTATATATGTATTTGATTGTCGAGAAAGAAAACTTAAGCTAACCTTTCTGATTTTGTCTTACAGAATTGTTGTGCAAGTTGTTTTGCGCTCAGGTCCCAGGATGGGGTTTTCCAAAGGCCGTGCTTCTTAAAATGCTTCAAGAAAAAGGGTTTATGGAGAAGAACAAACTGATTTTAAAAGTGGAAGTAAAAGTAGTTGAAGTTGTTGATGAAGCAGAAGTAACTGGGAAAGAGACCTTAGACGTGGAAGGTTTCCAAGTTCTTTATTCTCAGGTATGGAGACACACTCCTTTTTTTTCTGATATTGGACATGGTTAGCATAATTACATCTTTGTGTCGACAGGTTGTTTCAGTGGGTAGGCTTTTCACGAAGCACCCTGACATTGCAGTGAATTTAAAACCAAAGAGCCAATTTGTGAAGACAACATACATGAATCTCCTCCTCGGTCTCATCGAGACACTGAACAAGCCTCCACATAGCTTCTCCGAGACTGAGCTAAGCAACGCTCGCAGGGAGCTGATGGATCTAACAGAAGCTAGCTTCAAGCTAGACTGGTTGAAGACAAAGCTTGATGAGGTTTCCTTGGAGAGGAAGAAAGCAAGTGCTGATAGTATTAGAGTCCGAGAACTCGAGGAACAAGTCAAGAATCTCAAAGCTGAACTGAATAAGGAGAAGGAAAAATCAGCTACTTCTGCTGCCAAAGTGTTGTCCTTAGAGAAGACCGTGTCGGATATCATAGAGCAGAACAAGAAGCGTAAAATGAGCCCTTAGTAATTTTTTTTTTTTAACAAAAGTTTTCAAAGCCCTTTGTAATTCTACCGCTAATTTTGGTATTTTGTTTACGAATTTTGGTATCTCAGAGCAGAAGGTCAACTCTTGTGAATGAAATCATTGCGGAACCTATTTTTTATCGGAACGATTTCCCTTTTAGAACTGTCTAGCTAAAGTTTTTTTTTTTCTTTTTTTTTTTTTGAACTTTTGTCTAGCTAAAGTTTAAAAAACGAGTTATCAAGTTTATTGCTTTCTGAGGTCTACAATTTGTTTTTGGACCATTATATATATCATATATGTGAAAACAATCAAACTAGTGTATATGTCTGATACAAACGATATACAAAGCAATGAGTCAGTTTTGTTTGTTTGTTTTTGGTTTCTCGTCTGCCTTAATTACTCTAGAGAAGTAAATAAGCTAACCTTCTAAAAAAAACTCTTTCACACGACACGACAAATCAATAGAGAAACTAATTGTAATCTCCTTACCAAGTAATTATAATTTTTTTTTGCAATCCGATTGTTTTCAGTTTCATTATTTTTTTGGGGGAGAATTTAAAACATGGGATAATTTTTGAAATTACCCCAAGGAATTATTATTAGTTTTCAGTTTCATTATTTCTTTTGAATTAGGATTTCGAAAAGCTTTATAAATAGACGGGGTTAGGGTCAAATATCAAAAACAAGTCTGGGAGAAAGAAAGTGTATTTTGCTGCCTCCAAGTAACAAAAGCCTGAGAATAGTATGGAGGATCAAAAGCAGACGAGTTTCACCTTTGAGATAGATAACTTCTCGGAGAAGGAAGGTGTGATACAATCTCCGAACTTCTTAAGCGGCGGCTGCGAATGGTAAAGGAAAACAATAATATATTGTGTTGTAATTCTTAACACATCGATCCTCTAGGTTCAATAAGTATAACGTGTCTCTGTTATTATGTTTATAACCAAAGCGTTTAGTTAATCTGTTTCCTTTTTTTTTCCAGGTGTCTACGTGTTCATCCCAAAGGAGACTATATTGAAGATCACTTGGCTCTGTACCTCAGCGTTTCGAATCCTGAATCATTGCGACTTGGATGGAAAAGAAGAGCTAGTTTTTCCTTCGTTCTGTTAAATCAATCAGGCAACGTTCTCAGAACAGATGGTTATTTACTTATCGTTCATAAACTGTATACATCTCTGATTGTCAGAGCAAGAAAATTTGAATTAATCTCTCTGTTTTTGTCTTACAAGAAAAGCTGTTCTGCGCCGAGTTCCTAGGATGGGGTTGGGCAAGGGCATTGCCTCTTGAAAAGCTTCAAGAAAAAGGGTTTCTGGAGAAGAACAAACTGATCGTTAAAGTGGAAGTAAAAGTCGTTGAAGTTGTTGATGAATCAGAAGTAACTGGGAACGAGACCTTAGATGTGGAAGGGTTCCAAGTTCTTTATCCTCAGGTATGTAAACTGGGAAGGAGATGCTTCTTGCTGTATTTTTTTTTTTCTTTTGGATTTTCTTTTCTGAGATTGGACATTGGTTAACATAATTTCATATTTCTCTCGTTGACAGGTTGTTTCAGTGAGTAGGCTTTTTTTGGAACACCCAGACATTGCTGTGAATTTCAGACCAAAAAGCCAATTGGTGAAGACAACATACATGGATCTCCTCCTTGGTCTCATCGAGACATTGAACAAGCCTCCACATGGCTTATCCGAGACAGAGCTAAGCAACGCTCGCAGCGAGTTGATCGATCTAACAGAAGCAGGCTTCAAGCTGGACTGGTTGAAGACAAAGCTTGATGAGGTTTCCTTGGAAAGGAAGAAAGCAAGTGCTGATGGTTCTGGAGTCCAAGAATTTGAGAAACAAGTCAAGAATATGAAGCTTGAACTGGACACGGAGAAGGTCAAGTCTGCTACTTGTGCTGCTAAAGTTTTGTCGTTGGAGCAGGAGGTGTCGGATCTCAAAGATGAGCTGAACAAGAAGGAAGGCCAAACTGTTACTCCTAAAGACTTCCTCAAGTATCTTGTTAACTCTTGGAAAAGAAGAGTGTGATACTGTGATTACGCGGATCTCCGTGATGAAATATATAGACTAGAAACATGTTTTTCGTTTTTGTTTTTTTTTGGGGTGTTTTATATGTTTTCTTTTATAATAATCAAGAAGTTTCGCATATATCAGATGTTGAAGAAAACTTTTAGAAATAAAAATAGTTTCTATCATTTTTATTCATCATAACTTGTCTTGCAACAATATATGTTCAAGTGGATCTGGTAATCTCTGAGATCTTCTAATATCGGGTATTTAAATGGTCCATAGTCTCAATCTGAAATGGGTGTTGAAGCTTTCAGTTTCCAAGCGCCATAAGTAATGATGATACGGTCAAGAATTTCTTGGATGGTTAGACCAATCTCAATAAAGATCTTTAGATGTCTAAACAAATGTTATTAATAATAAAACTGAATAAAAAATTAGTTTACGGTGTCTTAGACTAATGTTTAAATTAAGACATACGCGCATAAACGTCTCGAGAATGTGTCTTGCGTAACAAGTCTCTAATATGCAAGTAATCTTTATCCCCATTAGACGAGACATACGCGCATAAACGTCTCGGAGTGTGTCTTGCGTCACAAGACTTTAATATTCAAGTAATTTTTCGTCATTTTATTTATACAAGTCAATTACAATGGTAGAACAGAGACCAAGACTTTTTTTTTTTTAGTGAAATTATTCGAATATATTCGGATCTTTCCATATATTTACATACGATATTATGATTTTTCATATTCTCCGATATGTTAGGAGTATGATGACCTAACCTTGTTGTAATATAAATACTCTTCTCACAATTTAATATAAACACACAATTCTCTTCACTTTAACATGGTATGAACCCTAATCGATCTATCTCTTTCTGAAACTTTTAGCCATCTCCGCAAACTCTTTTATCGTTCTTTCTCCATTCATAATGACTTTCAATGAAGGTACACTGACCTCTGGTACTTCAGAAACAGTGACCTCCGCGACCCCATCTATCACAAACTCACCTTACTACCTACACCCATCAGATCATCCTCATCACGTTATTACACCAATTCTTTTCAACAGCGAAAACTACGAGTGATGGGCAAAGTTAGCAAAAAACAATCTACGAGCCAAAAAAAAGTTAGGTTTCATAGATGGGACTTTAAAACGACTATTGGAGTACAAACAATGGGCCCCAGCGAACTCAATGCTCATTGATTGGCTATACGCGAGCATAGAACCTAAAATCCATCAATCCATATCGGTTGTGGACAGCGCACTCGTGATGTGGGAGAATCTCAAAGCTCGGTTCTCTGCAGGAAACACATGGGAGAATCTCAAAGCTCGGTTCTCTGCAGGAAACACACCACAGGTACATCAATTCAAGGCAGACCTTGTAGCTTGTCAACAAAACAGACAAGACATTGCAACCTATTTTGGAAAGCTCAAGGTCATGTGGGCTGATTTAGACGATTTTGAACCTGCACTCGGTGGCTGCTGCAACAACCCTAGATGCACCGTCACCTTGGACGTGATCATGAACACATTCATCAGTTTCTAATGGGTTTAGACGGATCTCGTTTCGGGACGACCAGAACCAACTTGTTGGGTCGTTTGACTCGAGAAACAAAGCTTAGTTTGGATCACATCTACTCGGAACTTATCTCTGAAGAACGACATCTCCTGGTCTCACGAAGCAAAGAAGAACGTCTAGATGCTATGGGACATGCTGTTCAAAGCGGAGTCAATGCTGTAGCTGCGGCAACAAAAACACGCAACAACCTTCTATGCACACATTGCCAGCGTACTAATCATACCGCAGAGACATGCTTTCTACTTCACGGCTTTCCGGAAGGGTGGGGCAATTCCTCAACACCAGGAGAAGGTCGAGGACACGTCACTACTCATGGTCGCGGACGCGGTAGAAGTGCTTAACCAAGGGCAAACAACGCTGCTGCAAACCTAGAAACAGAGTATCCTTCAATTCCAGGAGTAAGCAAAGAAACATGTTCCACCATCGTTAACCTCCTCAAATCACCAAATACATCTTCGGAAAAGCTCTCTGGTAAGAACTCCAATGTTGAATTTCTCCATGATTCCGGGGCATCTCACCACATGACAGGAGATGTTGAACTATTACCGGATTTAAAAGATATTCCTCAGAGTATTATTGTTCTTCCGAACAACAAACATGCTTACGCCACCAAAGAAGGATCCCTTCACCTTGGCGGTGACAGAACACTCACCCACGTTCTCTTTGTACCTGATCTCTCTTGCATATTGATTTCTCTTGCACGCATGCTATGATAACTCTCCTGTTTTGCGATCTTTACTGACAAATTTTGCGTGTTACAGGACCATTCTTCGAAGATGCCGATTGGAGCAGGTGAAGAAGAGAATGGGATTTATCAATTTGACGGGATCGTTCCAGCTAGAGCTCTCAAGACTACAGCAACAAATCAATTAACCTTGTGGCATCAAAGGATGGGACATCCTGGAAAGAAAGCTTTATCTTCAGTTTTATTTGCTTTTAAGGGTTTTAAAACAAGTAGTTGTGATTTGGATGGTTTTGCGATCTTTGCATTCAAGCGAAAGATAGCCGTGATTTTTTTTAAAAAGTTCTAATAAAGCTACAGAATGTTTTACTCTCATTCACTGAGATGTTTGGGGCCCTTATTGTACACCTTCTTCTTCTGACGCACACTGATTCTTAACCATAGTAGACGATCACTCTAGGGCTGTTTGGACTCATTTCATACTAGTTAAAAGTGAGGTTGCATCTGTGTTGAAATTTTTTATTGCCATGGCGGAAAGTCAGTTCAACAAGAAGGTACAAACGGTCCGCAGTGACAATGGAACAGAATTTACATGTCTCCGCAAGTTTTTTTATGAAAGTGGTATCTCTCACCAGACCTCCTGCATTGGAACACCACAACAAAATGGACAAGTTGAAAGAAATCACCGTCACATACACAACATGGCTCGGGCTCTTCTCTTCCATGGACATTTACCGATCAAGTTTTGGGGAGAAAGCATTCTTACCGCTGCCAATCTCATAAATCGCACGACGGGAAGTCGCTATATCGGAAGCCACCCCCGGGGTTCACACCATCAGATTCTCTCTCGTTTGTAAGCTTCACAAGTCCCTTTATGGACTGCGTCTGGCGCCTCGTTGCTGGTTCCCCAAGCTTTCCAAAGCATTGCTTGCATACGGATTTGTTCAGTGCAGAAAAGATTACTCGCTGTTTACTTGAGTTCGCGGCTCTACAGTCCTTCATATTCTTATATACCTGGATGATTTGATCATTCTTGGCAACAATTTAACTTTCATAGCCCAGTTTAAGGCCTATCTCAACACATGCTTTCGAATGAAGGATTTGGGTACTCGCAAATACTTCTTAGGCATTAAAGTTGCCCGCAGCAGTGACGACATTTATCTCTCCCAACGAAAGTATTGTCTCGACATTATAAAGGAATGTGGTCTTACCGGATCATGCCCTGTTGATACACCGATTGAGCAGAATCATCGACTGGTTTTAGATGATGGACCGTTGTATTCAAACCCATCTCAGTATCGCAGAATTATCGGGCGTTTAGTCTACCTAGCTCTGTCCGGAACTTTTCTACTCCATCCACATCTTAGCTCAGTTTATGAAGTCTCCTCGCCAAGCTCATTGGGATGCTGTTATGCGAGTTGTCGGATACCTTAAAGGCTGTCCCGGGCAAGATGTCTTATTATCATCCTCCTATACTCTACAAATTAAGGCGTATTGCGACTTAGACTGGACATCCTGTCCTCTCACACGACACTCTTTCAGCAGCTACATAATCTCTTGGAAAACCAAGAAACAAGATCGTGTATCTCGCTTCTCCGCTGAAGCTAAAATGGCTCCATGGCGTTTGCCGTTCAAGAAGTTCTATGGATTAAGAACTTCTATCATCTCTCGGTATTGATCATCCCACTCTGATGCAACTAGTGTGTGATAGTAAATCTGCCCTACACATAGCAGCAAATTCGGTGTTCCATGAGCGCACAAAGCATATTGAAATGATTACCAAATGATTGCCATTTTATACGGGATGAAATCACTGCCGGAAACATTGCCATTTTTCACGTTCGCACAACCGAGCAACTGACGGATATTCTTACCAAAGCACTCAGGCGAAATCAGTTCAAGTATCTACTCAGCAAGATGGGCGTTTGTGACCTCCACACTCCACCTTGAAGAGGAGTATTCAGATATATTCGGATCTTTCCATATATTTACATACAATATTATGATTTCCATATTCTCCGATATGTTAGGAGTATAACCTAACCTCGTTGTAATATAAATACTCTTTTCACAGATCAATACAAACACACAATTCTCCTCACTTTGACAGAAATAAGATTTTTTATAGGTAAGTTAATTCCGTCTCTAGGGTCTCGAAAATTCCACTAATCTTATATAGTACTTCATCTGACTCGGCTTGATTTTTTTGTTCTGCTTTAGAATCTGTTTGTGCAAATACAATACTAAAAAGTACATGTTAAGCTATGTTTTTTGCTAATATAAATTTGCAGTGTGATTTAAAAAAAAAGCAAAGCTTCAGTAGTAAAGAGATACCTAAACATGATAATATCAAATACTTGTTGCTTAAAAACGTGCCAAAGTAAATAACAAAGAGAGAGCTCAGTCACAAAGCCACAACTCATCAAAGGAATCAGAGCAATGCGAAAGACCCAACTATCGGGTCTGTAACGTGGCAGGGTAATTCTACCACTCACTGGTGTTGCTTGTATCAATGTCTTTCGTTTTATATATCTACTATATATTATTTAAGAAGTAAAATTATTGGTGGAAGTCCCCTTAGCCCAATGGTTTAATAAGGGTTTATTAATGCTTCTACACTAGGAGGTCTAGGTTTCAAATCCCAGCGAGCGCGATTTATTCTTAATTATGCAGATTAATGAAGAATGATGCAAATTAATGAAGGTAAGCTTACAAGAGATCTTCAGCGTGGAGCAAGCAGAATCGTCTTTT